TGCTCAAATTTTTCAATACTTTGCTCACTTTGTCCACTTACAACCTCAGAATTGCCACGAGTATTGATTTTGGTGTTACAAATGAATTTTAGCAAATGGGAAAACTCACAAATAGAGAATCCACGAAAATGAAAATTAACTGTATTACAAATAAGGAATTAGGGTCAGAGCACTGGAACCAAGATTCAGACTCAGATCTGTTTGAATTCAAAGACTACCCTTTCCGCTATTCCTTGCTGCTTTCGAAGAATGTTATAGTCTGAATTTTTAAAATTCTTTCTCACTAGTTTTTCCTTATTGGTTTTATAAATAATAGTTCCAAATAATTTATTTTTTCTTTATTTTAGGCTGAAAAACTTAATTATAAGGATAAGAAACTGAACATTGGTCCAGCAATAAGAAAACAACAAGTAGGGATCCCTCGTATGTATTGAGAACTAATGTATTTTTCAATATTTTTACGTGGTTCTTTTTTTGTTTGGTTGGTTTTTGTTGCTTTGTTTTTTGGAAAGCGGAAAAGCAATGGTTCTTTTTTGAAATATTAGGCTTTTTATAGAACTTCGTTTCCTCATGTTTTTTCATTTAATAAAGGTATTTTAGCAAAGTTGGTGGCCAATGAATATTTCTTATCACAGATTAATATATCTTAGTTTTTTTGTCTAGGGAAAAATTTAGATAAATAATGATGCTTAAGTATATTCAATACAGTTACTTCTTTAAAGGAAAAATATGTTATGATGACAATATTTAAAATAAAAGTAATTAGAATTTAGAATTACTAATGAGAAATTTTTCTAATTAGAAAAGTAATTTAAAATTAATCAGTAAAAATACTGAAAGTGAAAATGTAGAATTAATATCAGAAATATGGTATGTACTGTCACCCAACCACATGTCATAATTATCAGAGGGAACAATCCCTAAAGAATTAGGAATTAGCTAAATTATGTGTGTACCTTCCTCAAATTTCTGTAATACTTTCGACTCTACTCTTTTTTTAACTCTTCCCATTTATTAAATCAGGCATCTTTATAGTTAACTTTTTACCTATCATATTGGTTAAAATCTCTAAGAGAGTCCTTGGCTAGATGGAGAAACTTGACATAAAATTAGAAACTAACTTTTTTTAACCACATCCTAGTGTTTAGTGGGATGTTTAAAACATTGGGTAGTTTAATTTTGACTTAATATTTGCTAATTTAGAGGGAACAATCCCTAAAGAATTAGGAATTAGCTA